TTTCCGTGAAGAATTTCTTCCTAATGTCCAGCCTAAACTACATAATTGACCAAAGTTCCCTTAATGAAATAATTGTAATATTTTAGCCAGGATTTGAATTTTTTTTTCGAATTATCTGTTTCTCTGGTCCTGTGCAGCACAGTAGTCCTTTGCTTTACATCTGGCTCTTACTTAGAACTATTCACCCACAAATCCCGTGCCTTAAGAAGTGTTACCTTTGTTCCCATTTTATAGATTGGAAAATAGACAGAAAAAAAAAAATCATATATGGCTCAGAGTGACTCTACGAATTCACAAATTCAGTAGCAGAATCAGTGAAAAGCAGACATTCTGCATTCTTTGCCAACAAAAAAATAGTAACATTTAATGGTATGTCTCCTTGAAATAGGACACAATAATAGAAATAAAGATCCCTAAATTAATCAGCATTTTTAGGTCTTCTTCGCTTGGAAGTTTTAAATACTAAATGAGATTGAAATACCAAATGAAAATGGAAATACTGAACTGAGAAGCAACTACATTAAATTGGCAGCTTACTCAAATATGCTGACCTGATTTATTACAATATCAGCACTTCTTTGTGCTCCTGCTAGGCCTGGCGCACTAACACAGAAATGCTGGAGATGAATGTTCTTATTTATTGTGCATTACCAGCAGAACTATTAAATTTTAAGTTAACAGCCTCTGAGCAATCTGTGGAAGTCAGACACACCAAGGTTGTGATCAGAAAACACTTGTCTCTTAAGACTTCCGCAATGTTAACTTTTTCCACCAAACAACCTTGAAAATCCAAGGGGAGCAGAAAAAAACCATAGTGGCACTTCCCAGAGGACTTATAACTGGGGATATTTCAATTTCCAAACACAGGGGAGCGAATCCCACCATTTTGGCACCTAAGTTTTATCAGGAAACACGGGAGCTCAAAGTTATTCTTATATTGCTCTTGGATTAAGAGGAAAAATTCTATCTACCTGCAACTTAAACAGTGTCAAAAGCTGCACTTCCCCTGTGTTACCCATGAAAGATAGGGTAACCCTAAGCACTGAAGGATCAGAGACTTTAGCACAAGTGAGAACTGAACCTGAACTGCTCACAAGCAGCCGTGTCAGTCGCTTATTTATCATTTTCAGTCACACTGGGAGACAAAAATTCATTGTTATTAAAACCATCTCTATATGAAGCAATCTTTGGGTCAGATAGGAATTAATTTTTACCTACTCACCAAAAATTCAATTTAAATTTTTCACAATTTTCTAATGTGTGATTTCTTAAAACTGAGGTGTAAAAAAAAGAATCAGAGAGAACAGTTTTACAGGAACTGTGAAACAACTGTCAGATGCCAAGACAAAAGAATACTAGCAACTACTTAAACTTTGTTTTAATTTTCACTTCACAGCTGCAGACACCAAGCTCAGCATTTTCACACTGCATAACAAGCTGCTATTATAGGAAGTAAAATACTCTAATTCAACACTCTTAGAGACTCTTAACTAGATGAAGTATTACCAAGATTCTTCTGTGCCTTAATATATACACAATCTTTTGACTTCGTTATTCCTGATGTTTTCATACGGTTCATGGTGTATGGGAGGATCAAGATATGAAAGCAGACTTCTTAGTAACCAACTCTGAACAGCCTCCATGCCACCCCTTGGAACGTGCTTCCACACATTCCCAAAGGATGCCTTAGAACACTGGAGCAATCATTTCAGGTCATAAAAAGATAAAGAGCTTTAAATAACTTTTCATTTCTTCCAGTGAGAAAATGATTATTTATGCTCTTAAAATGAAAAGGACTTTGTGCAAGAAGTGTGGAAAAATCTGGTTTTAATTACAGATTTCAAAACAGAGTTATACAGAACAATTCTACTGTTTATACTCAGTAAATATATTAAAAACTTAAAGCAACCAAGAAGCAAATCAGCAGAGTAGTCTATAACTAACTCACATGTTTTCTGGAAAAGCACATCATGAACAATGTGTCCCTTGCAACTGAAAACAAAGAGGGAGAAGAAAAGGGGCAAAGAAAATGAGTTTAAGCAAGAAACTTTAACGCCTCTTTTGATCTTGCATGCAAGCTCAAAATGAGGGGGGGAAAAAAAAAAGTTTCGATCATTCAGTCTGCAGCTTTATTTAAAGATCAAAACAAGCCTGAGCAGCTTAAAGCCTGACTTCATTACGAGAAAAGAAGCCATGCACAGTCAAAGAGTTAACTGAATGGTAAGTGGGACATTCTTTCTTGCAGCTTTGCTTAAATGTTAGAAACATTATTTATAAACTGCCCCATATTCTGCAGAAGACAATCAAGGTCCACTTCAGAGAAGTTTTTTCCAGTCTCTCATTTCTTTTCAAATCTCCTATTACCTACCTGCTGCTTTAAGATCTTCAGATGGAGTTTTAATAGCTTGCTAAATAAATTGCATACATGAATTAAAATCTTCCAGCCGTTTAGAAACAGAAACTACATATGGAACATGGTGACAAGATCTTCAGAATAAAATTTAAAAACTGAAGATATTGGCTAAGTCTTTTTTTACCTACAAACTTAAAAATACCAGTGATAGAGTTCTGTTGCAATAGAAAAACCTGTTTGAATGTGTAAAGCTTTTGCTGAGACTACATATATTCTAATCCACGTTTTCTCAGCAAGTGAATTCATTTTTTTCCTATCCCTTTGAAGATGCCACAGAGCTAAGAAACATTCAAAACTTTGCTTAATACAGAAGGAATAACAAAGTGTCATTCACTCCTTTGAATACACTAGCTTGGATACTCCTACGTTATGATGATTCACTGTATGTTTGGTTAAAATAATTCAGCAGTTTCTAACAAAATGTTAAACACCTGAAAATGCAGGAGGACACAGCAGATGAAAAATCAGAAGCGCACTTAATGGCCAAACGATTTGAAATTTCGATCTGTTGTCTATATTCTAACCGTTTAAAGTATCTTAACACATTATATATTACTCTGCTTTCAATCAAGTATCTTGCTGTGCAACGCCATTCACACGAGAGCTAATTCTGATCTTCAACGACATACGAGAGATCCAAAATCAGATTGGCTGTCTCCAGAGCTACTTGTAGGCCGCTACACTTCGCAACAAAAGAGTCCAACGTCAGACGGTCGGCAGTCTTTACCGAGGGCTCTTTGGGGCAGCCCTGTAGAGTGGCACAGCCAAACTGGCCTTGCAAAAGCCTCCAGCTGAGATTCTCAGCATTACCATTAATCCCACAGCCACATTTTGAAACTAAATCTGTCCAGTTATGGACAGAGGGAAAACCTGACGGGACAAACCAACAGTGTCCATAAACCATGTCTGTAAGAACTTCTCCATCATCGTGATTTAGAGAGGAAGCTACTGACTCCAGGGAACGGCAAAAACCATCAGCAACCAATTGGTATTGTGTACGAGAACAGCCCATGCCTTTAAAACTGCTGGGAGGCAGATAACAAGTCTACAAAAAAAAACAACATGAAAACAGAAAATTAGGACATTTTTCCAGAAATATTTTTAATCATACATTGTACTGTTGCCTTTTTTTTTTTAAACAGATGGTTTGGTCCTAAAAAAAATTGTTCATGTGATGACTACTCCACAACACGAAAGATTTCTAGACAAGTCAAAGCTCAGTTCCACATGATTATCTTTCAATATAAAAATTCCACCCATTTTTATTTTAACACTTAGAAAACAAGCAGTGTAATAGATAACTAAAGAAAGATTAACAAGAACAAATAAAGTATTAGCAAGTCTGACAGATAAAATTAGCACTAAGTGCTTCAAAGAGACCCCTTTTTGTTAGACAGCAAAAATGCAACACTAATCTAGAAGCGTTTTAACTGTAGCAGTGCTGCTACATCAATTCTTATTTTCTAAGTATATTAAGCAGCTTCAAAACAACCTTATGTCTTACATACCTTGTGTCTTATGTACGAAGCCAGGTGAGTTTCTGTACAGCCACCTCCTAATAATGCCAGAGGTTCCTTGACTATTAGCTGCAACACATGCTCTGCAGTTTCACAGGCACGCTGAAAGCCACGGGAATTTGTTATTAGACACACCATGATGAACAGGATTTGCCTCCAGTGACAAAAATCCAACTATTTGAATAAAATTTTCAGTACTTTTTGGTACTTCATTAACTTGAATCATGTGTGGATATAAAGCTGCTGGGTGATTTCAAACCCATGTTTGCTTAATGAGAAAGTCTTTATTTGGCCACACAGTATGGAAAGGAAGAAATAAGAAAAGCTGTGCTTTATTCCTTCTTTTTGCCCAGCAGGGTTATATATAAGTCAATCAGTATTAATGACATTTCTAGAGCAACTACTCAATGCAAAACTATGACAACCATTGCAGATATTGCTGCTGGCCTTTTGCCCAGCACAATTTTTCCTTTATGCTCTCAAAGGCCAAATAATGAGAATGAAAGTGTTTATTCAGCACTGGCCTCAGGAACAGGTGAAAAATGCTTCCGTCTCTAAACAACTTCCCATATTAAAATAGAGGCATTAAATCAACAAGGGCGTTTCTGAATTGCTTTCTTGAAATTGTACACTTAAACTCTAATTAAATGCCATTTATACACCGAAAAAATCACTTTTCTAAACTCACTGCATCTATATGTCTCATTACTTAATTTTTCCATTAAAAACATGACCTTTCAGGAAAGATTTGCCTACCTTCAATTCATCCCATGCCGTTTCATTTCTGTTACAGAGTATCAGGCTGCAGACAACTGTGTCATTAGGAATTAGATGCACAAAATGTTTTGAAGCGAAACTCTCAATGCGTACATCTTTCAAAGTGCCATAACAACTAGGAGACAACGCATGTATGGAAGCTATAGGCTTGGAACCTGTCCAGTTGAGAAAAGCAGAGAACACTATGGATTACTGCCATCAGAACAGCTATCAGTTGCATTTCATAAACCATAAATTTTTTTTTTAATTATTCATATACTTTAATACCCAACATATCAATCTACATAGGAAATCACAAATAGAAACTGACATTTTCAAACGGCAAGTCTTATTGATAGTTTGTGATAAAAAGGCATTGCTTTATGCTCATTAAATAGCAATTTGAAAATAAACTGTATTTGCAAGGAGTTACTAGAATTGGATATTCCTCATGCAGCAACTAGTAATCACATGTGCAGTAAGTCATCCTTACAGCCTGCAAAAGACCAATCTCACCTCAAAAAATTAAAAATTTAAAGTCTAGTTTTCAGACTAGAAAAGGACAAGGTAGAACACAGACGGAAACAAGATAATCCTTACTCTGCTGATGCCCAACCTAAACAAGTTTTCATTGTAGGATGAAAATTAAGGACAATTTAGTACATAAATCTCACTCATTACCTGTCATCTGACTCAGGGGCTCCATGAGAGACAGCCCAGCTCTGTCCACAGTCATGACACGGTTCTCTTTCAGATACTGCTTCAAGGCCGGATGGATAACTTTCTGGCACACTACAAGGCCAACTTCATCGTTAACCAGCTGCTTTCCTACATTAAGCAACTGATTCAGCTCTGCCATTTCTAGAGAAATCCCATGATGGACCGTCACCGTTCCTTCTTCAGGGAAGAGGCAGTCTCCTGCCATGGAGGCACAGAAAAGAGCTATCTTAATCACGTCTGAATGAGTCCTTCTGACGGTAAGTGGCTTTGCCCATTGAATTTCTGGCGTTTCTATCAGTAGTCCGGGAAGAACCATAGAATTCATAACTCTTCTCCTTTTCATGGGTACTATTATACACTTTCCTAGAGCAGCATTAGTCTCACCGTGACATGGAACAGTAAACATAAAAGCCTTTAAAATCAGCACAGCAAGATGATCAACTTCCCTTTTATGAAGCATGCAAGCAGGCTTGCTGCTTAACACGCTACGGACCAAACCAAGCAGAGTCTCAACGCTGCTGAAATCCACAGACACTCGGCAACCACAGGCCTCCGATTTCAGGTAGTCCAGACACAAACTCAGAAGATGCCTGCTTATTTTAATGACAGTGCAAGGTGCAATATTTAGGCTCTTAAAGTTTTCAACCAAACTACAGCAAAGAATAGCAGTAAATAAGCCACAGTCACTGAAGCGGGAGACATGGTTCTGCACAGAGGCCGTCAAAACCCTTACCACAGGCTGACTGACCGAAAGACGACCGAGTAGAGCTGAAGACTGTGAAGTTGTACAAACGTAACCTCCCACACCGTTGTGCAGCTGTTTGAGCCTGCCAGTGGGACCATAGCAAGACTTTAATATCCCACTTAGCAGAGACAGCGACTGACCAACTACATCTTCAGCTAACGGCTCGCTAATAAATAATGGAGGTTTTTTAGCTTCAAGACGAGACATTTTCAAAGTAACATTTTAATTCCAGCCAACAAAACACATTTAATTTTTACTTAGATCTATTAATTCACAGCACTTTCAAACTTTTAAGTAGTACATTTTAACTCTTTGCAGATGATTATTTTAAATGTGAAACAGGACATACAGTACAATAACAACATTCCTGTGACTGCTCATGATCTCTCTTAAAATGAGGCTTAAATCCTATGATGAAGCTGATATATAAAGACAGCAGCATGGTCTTTCATTCCTGACGATCTTTTTTAGTTTCTGAATGTGATCGAGCAGATTTTTTTGCAACGAAGTTCACAAGCATGCTTCCAAAATGGACACCTATAAGTGACAGTCCTGCCACAAGCAGGAAGTTCTTTCTGCTCCAACCAGTTTTCTTCATCTCTTCTTCTGGCACCACTCACAGATTAGAAGTTTTAAAGCTAATTATACCTAGAATAAAAAGCACAGAAGTGTTAGGATAATCTTATGACAATATTGCATAGCTTGAACTGTATTTTATTTTGCACAGCTTGAACTGTATTTTATTTTGCACATAAGGAAAACTATCAAACTATCACACTTTTTAATTGAAAAAGCACAATATTACATATAATACAAGCATCTAGTGCATGAATTATACACGTTTTTTAATATCTTCAATTATGATCACCAATTTGTCTTCTGTTTTACCTCTAGGCCAGTAAGTACCTCTGGGCCAGCGATGAATTGTACAAAAGTGTCAAAACTATAGTGATGTTAACCTGGTTTTACCTGAGATCAGAACAGAGCTACTCAGCACTGCTTCCCAGGCAACCACTTCAGAAACAAAACCTTTCAATCTTCAAACAAGTTTAAGAAATCCCCGTCTCTAAACAAAAGGGTTTTTACTTCAAGATGCTTAATGTACAATTTCTTTTTTTGCAGTTCTTAAATACTTCAAAACTTAAAGGGATGCTTTATACCTCCATTTAATCTCTACAGTATTTAGATTTCTCTCATACTTAACTTTCTTCATTTTCTATTGTAATTATCATCCCTACTAACAACACAGACCTGCTATTATGTAAAGTCACAACTATTTCTGGGCAGTTTTGAACTTGAAAGGACACTGTCGCAGACCCAGTCACACAAGTCTGGCTGTTGCCCTGAAGTTAATGGGAGTTTGCTTTTAAGTATCCTGAAGACCTATAATACCATCTCTTAACTGATCCTAGCGCATGGGATTTAGCAGTAGCTCGAGATGCCTTTTGGTAGTTATACAACCACCACATTAACTCATTTCCAAAAAAGAATAAAACTGCGGAAGACTAAATTTAAAGCAGCAAGACTGCATCTGTTAGAAAATTCTCATCTAATTGACTGCTGCCTCAAAAATACAGATACAACTACTCAGGCAACTTACCAAAATACAGAGCACTAATGCTATTTTTCTTTATTTTTCTCATCGCTTTGCAACACGTATGCCACAATCCCAGGTTCTGGAACGAATTCCTCTCTCTTCACTTGGAAGATAGGACTGGACTTCATTTGAAACCACCCCCAGTGCACCAGCCCAAGGCTAGTTCCCATAACAATCAGAACTTTGTAGTCCTTCCAGATGGTTTTAAGACCCATTGCAAAATGGCATCTACCTAGGTAAAGATAATTCATTATTTTAAATATATTTTAGAAATCCTTTTCTACCCTACAATAATAGCACAAAACAGATGAACCTGAGTATCTTTAATCACAATGCCACAGATGATTAAAACACAAAAAGACCCAAGAAAGTCTTACTTTGTGAACTCAAAAAGCAAGCTGTAAAAATAACCTCAACTCAGACTTAAATGCTGCAGCTGCTTTAAGCTTTGACATGCTAAATCTTAAAAGCTTTATTACTTCATGTTTATCTAATTACAATTGTTAATCTAATTACAAATGCTACTGCTTCAGATGGTAAACATCTGAAGTCTAAACTAAAGCAGTTTCAAAATAGACCTTTTAACCTCCCCACAGTTAATAAAAGTAAGTGACTAAGCTCCTAATATAATATGGAACTTGTAACTTCCAGGTAAAACAAGCTGTAATGCTTCTGACATCACTTTATACCGCCTGAAAGCAGCTGTAACTGACTACCCGGAGATTCAGCAGCTACAATAGCATGAGCACAAACACAATAAATGCACCACTGTCTAAACAGAATGTGTAAAACTACTTCTGGATTACTGTAAGGAAAACACAGTATGTACGCTTGGACTTTACACCGGATTAACTTCGTGGTTTAAATAGCTACAAAGGCACATCACAGAGTTAAATGTTCCTAGCAGACCTGCCCAGCTTCACCCAGGCGACAAAGAGCAACAAGTCCTGCCCAGCCTCCCTCCCTCCCTCCCACCGCGTGAATGCCACGGCCTCGCAGGCTGCGAGGCCAGAGGGCCGGCCGGGACGCGTACGGCAGGAGACACGGCTCGGGAGACGCCGGAGCGAGCAGCTGGGGCCTTGCCCACGGAGCCCCGTCCTCCGGCGGTAGAGAT